GGTATATAAGCACCTTAATGGTTCTAGATTAATAAAATCTAAAATTTTTTTGAAAAAAAAGTTTTTTCCAAATGAAATTTTACAAGGATATGATCGGTTTCATGTGTAAGTACATGTACATGAACCTGCATAAGAATATGTACAAGAACATGTACTTTTTCTTGTATACAAATATTAAATATATTTTCTTGTACAAGATCGTGGACAAGATCTGGTACAAGATCTGATACAAGAAGTGGAATTTATTTTATTTCTGAAAATTCAAAAAATGACAAAAATTAGTAAAACCTTCATAACTTGGAGTATTTTTATCCAATCGTGTTCGTTTACAGTTCATTTATAAAATTAAATAAAAATTATTAAATTAATTTAAAATTATTAAAAAATTAATTAAATTATTAATGAAAAAGAAAAAAAAACTGTAATGTAATTATATTTTATTTTAGGTATAATAAAAAAAAATCCTGAAATAAGCTCCCAAAAAGGCATCGTAACACCAGACTACCCCCTTAAATTTCGCGATCAGTGGTACCAACAGAAATTTAAAAAGAAAAATTTCGTTTTCGACGTGCCATGTTCTTCAAATCAAACGACGATATGTAGCCTCGTTTTCGGTATTCACGGTTCTCAAGTTTTCACCAATCTAATTACACTTGCGCCTCTAGAGGGAAACCTCGGTATTAAAATCACGTGTTTACAGAATACAGAGTTTAATACCACAATTTCCCGCGGTTAGCGTAAGTGTAATTAGATTGGTGAAAACTTGAAGGTGCTTTTATACCTTAAATTTCTATCAGATGAACATTATTTCTGGACTGTGAAAATCATAGACATATAGAAATGGACCGCTCACCACTGTGGAAAGACGGGAAGGAAAAAAGTAAGAGAGATAAACAAACGACTTATCCCACACTCTCTCTTTCTAAAGCAAGGACGTTTGAAGGAATCAGTGGACCCATGGTTGAATTTTGTAAATGTAGAAAAAGAAATATGGAATTTTTTCGGTGAAAAGTAATTTTATAAAAAGAAATTTAAATAGGTACAAATATTAAAATTTAAAATTATTAAATTTTTTAAACTATTTTCATTTTAAATTTTTTCTTACAGAATTTAAATAAGTACAAATATTAAAGTTTTAAATTTTTAAAAAATTTTAATTTTTTATAAAAAATTTGAATAAGAATAAATTTTCAGTGTACTATAATTATTTATTATAAACTTTATACAATGTATAATTATATTTATATAAACAAATTATAAATTTTGAAAATTTACATAGAACAAAATTTTTTCTTTCTTTACAATAGTCCAGCTATTGATTGTTAAGAGCATTTGAACCTTCGTGACGTCACAAATCATGGCGCATGACACGCAAACTTCTCAGGTATGTGAAAAGCACAATTTTGAATATTTTTTAAAAAAACCTTTTGGAAAATGTTCAGAATAACATAGACTCTGTCTGTTATGTGCGGAAAATTCAAAATTTTGCGTTTAAAACGTTTTTTAAACAATGTTAAGGTCACAAATCATGGCGCATGACACGCAAACTTCTCAGGTATGTGAAAAGCACAATTTTGAATATTTTTTAAAAAAACCTTTTGGAAAATGTTCAGAATAACATAGACTCTGTCTGTTATGTGCGGAAAATTCAAAATTTTGCGTTTAAAACGTTTTTTAAACAATGTTAAGGTCACAAATCATGGCGCATGACACGCAAACTTCTCAGGTATGTGAAAAGCACAATTTTGAATATTTTTTAAAAAAACCTTTTGGAAAATATTCAGAATAACACAGACTCTGTCTGTTATGTGCGAAAAATTCAAAATTTTGCGTTTAAAACGTTTTTTAAACAATGCCTACATATAAGCAATTCGTGTATTTTTCCTTACTTGTGACAACCAACTTAAACATTGTTTAAAAAACGTTTTATACGCAAAATTTTGAATTTTTCGCACATAACAGACATAGTCTATGTTTCTCTGAACATTTTCCAAAAGGTTTTTTTAAAAAATATTCAAAATTGTGCTTTTCACATACCTGAGAAGTTTGCGTGTCATGCGCCATAATTTGTGACCTTAACATTGTTTAAAAAACGTTTTAAACGCAAAATTTTGAATTTTCCGCACATAACAGACAGAGTCTATGTTATTCTGAACATTTTCCAAAAGGTTTTTTTTTAAAAAATATTCAAAATTGTGCTTTTCACATACCTGGGAAGTTTGCGTGTCATGCGCCATGATTTGTGACGTCACGAAGGTTCAAATGCTCTTAAAGAGAATTAATTTCCTAAATTTTTGTCTAATTCTAGTAGTACTAGTGTTTTCTTCGGAAGCTTTATATTTATAGGACCAATGACAATAACAAAACTTTACCACAATTATTTCTAAAAATAACTTATTTACAATCAAAAATTAAATGAACATTTTTCATACGTGTATCTTTGGAAGATACCATAGATACATGTACAAGGTACTATTGCTACAAAGCGCAGCCCTGGAGCGCTGACGTCACAAAATGCTTTAACCAATCAAATTTTGCTAGAAAGAGAGAGTATAGGATAAGTTGATATTTTCTCTCTCTCACTCATCCATATCCCGTCTCTCCACAGTGGTGAGCTGTCCATTTCTATATGTGTATGGTGAAAATGCGTGAAAATTCATTTTCACGGCGGGTATTTTTGCATTGTTTTATACAAAAAATGTTTTTTTAAGAAATATAATATTAAATAATTAATTTAATATGTAAGAACACTTTAAAATAGTGATAGAAAGATGATTTGATTGAAAAATTTAGCAAATTTTGCTTTAAAACGTTTCCTGCTACAAGAAAGTATAAAATGACGATGTTTGTGAAATGGTTTGTACAGTGCTTCTTCCTTGTGAGTGTCTCTCAGAGTTTTGTTTATGTTATGTCGGTTTTAATTTCAGTTATTCGAAACAATTAGTTGAATTTAAATTTATTTGATAAACATTTCAACTTACCGATTTATTTTCAGCACTCATTATTTATTACAAGTTAAAAAGAACCGACATAACATAAACAAAACTCTGAGAGACACTCACAAGAAAGAAGCACTGTACAAACCATTTCACAAACATCGTCATTTTATACTTTCTTGTAGCAGGAAACGTTTTAAAGCAAAATTTGCTAAATTTTTCAATCAAATCATCTTTCTATCACTATTTTAAAGTGTTCTTACATATTTAAACAATTATTTAATATTATATTTCTTAAAAAAACATTTTTTGTTTAAAACAATTCAAAAATACCCGCCGTGAAAATGACTTTTCACGGTCCAGAAATAATGTTCATCTGATCGAAATTTGAGGTATAAAAGCACCTTGAGAACCGTGAATACCGAAAACGGGGCAATTTTTTGTATACAGCGATATGTCTCCTTATGGAGCGGTCACACCTCGCCTGCAAAAGCAGTTGCCAATGGCAACCGTGTAAGAGTAAGAGAGATGGAAAATCTTTTATCTCTCTTACTCTTACACGGTTGCCATGGGCAACTGCTCCTGCAGCCGAGGTGTGACCGCTCCATTATACTACTTCGTGATCATAACCCAAATTCATCATTTGCTAAGAGGATCAGTGAAAGTTATTAAAAGCGAAAGACATTTTGTCGATAAGAATTGAAATAGAAAGCAATAGAAGGATGTAGACTGGATATTGAAAGAGATAAAAAAAGGATATTAAAAGCGAAAGACACCTTTTCGATAGGAATGGAGATAGTCATATATTGTTGTTCTTCTCTTACTAATTCTTCCGTTTGCGATTGCGATACGATTCCGGTTACGTTGCTATTGTGCTTAGGCCTTATTCTGCTCAAGCCTTTACATTTTGCATCCACATGGGACTTGACCCTAATGGAGGTTCTACAATAGGTGTAAAAGCCGTGCAAGTCCAAATGCAAATCCCATGAGTGCAAGAGAGATAGATATAGACTTCCTATCCCCTTCGCACTCATGATATTGCCACTTGGACTTGGCTTTTGCACCTATTCTGGAACCACCTTGATAATTTAAAGGGTGTTTTCGGGAGTTGCTGACAGCAGTGATGGGTTATGACGCGTCACACGAAGTTTTGTACGTATAATACGTTTTCGACGTAATATACGTATAAAATGTATAAAACCATGTAGAAAACCACTGACATTTTGACATCTATATTTATGATCCTCTGATTTTTGCCATAACGAATTTTTCTTATCATTCTATTTAAATTAAAGTCTTAAAATAAAATAGAAATGGTCAGAAAAAGTAAAAGAAAATCTTTTAAAGAGGGTTTGCCCTGGGCAAAATGGAATTTGAGCGGATAAAAGAGCTAGGCACTGATAAAAATGTTGCTAAATGTTTAATTTGTCAAAACATTATGAAAACAACTTTCTCTTTCAATAGTGTAAAGTAATGAATGATGTGTTTTAATGAAGAATTTAAAATTGCCGCTCTTAAATCACGTGATCAAACGTAATATACATCGTGTAGAAAACTTGGCACGTAATATACGTAGTATTATACACGTAGAAAACCACGTATTATACGTCATGTATTATACGTACCCATCACTGCACGGGAAAAAATTTTGCGCATAAGCTGCCCACTAGTGGTCACGCTTTGTACAAAAGTGAAAGTAGCTGCTGCCTGCGTATCTGTGGACACGTGCTATCCATGAAGGCCAACGCAGAATAGAAACGTAACCGGAATCGTAATCGCAAACGCAACCGGAAGAATGAGTTAGAGAAGGACAAACAATATGTCTATCGTTTTCTAACTCATTCTTCCGGTTGCGTTTGCGATTACGATTCCGGTTACGTTTCTATTCTGCTCAGGCCTTGATTAGTGCATGCGCTGTCCAGGACTGCACAGTCCATGCCCAGCTGTGGTTAGCTGCTGTCAAGTCATGGTCAGCTCCTACCCATAAACTAGCTCGCGGAAACCCACAAAGTACAGAGCTGCAGCTGCGCAGTAGGCAGTACAGCTATTGCGCAAAATTTTTTCCCGTATGGCTGACAGTATGCTGACAGTAAAAAAATTACCCATTCAGAATAAACATGCTGATGGATTAGCCAATCACAACATACTGACAGTCTACTCACGCAACTCCCGAAAACACCCAACATATCCCTCGAAAAGTAACTAGAGCCAGACGGCAGCCGTCACAGGAACTAAACTATACTTTTATAAACAGGTTGAGAACCTTTTCGTGTTCACTGAGCGCTCATAGTGAGAATCTGGAAAACGCCTAAGCTCCAATAGGATTTATAAAAAAAAATATATATATATATAACATATATAATTGAAGATTTTATTAATTATCCTGGTATGTAAAGATTAATTTGAATCATAAGGCTTATACAAAATGTATTGTTTTTTCATTTCATTACTACTGAAATAGATATAAATTGTTGTCATATGTGTTTTGAATTAAAACACATCAGCCTTGACACACATTCACATGATAATCAATTATGTAATACTACAAGATTATTTATATTTTTTTCTTTCTCTTGCAGTTTTTTGAATTAAAAATTTTTTATGCTTATTTTTCACTTAAATATTGATATTTTAAAATTAATTTTTTTGGTATTTTGAAATATGTTTATGTAAGAGGTGTTGTTTGCATACGATAAATTGTTATTAATTTTTATTTCAGTGTATCATAAAATAGAATCTGCTAACCCCTTAAAATTAGATTAATTTTAAATTTTATTACAATTATTTTTTGGGAAAATTATCTAAAGAAACAAAATATGCAATTACATTATAATGCAAATTATGAACTAGAATAAAAATTTGCCAACTTATTGAAATTTACGAATTTTGATGTTATTTTCATAGTAATCTTTTCTTTGATTGTAATCATTATTTTTTATTGAAATGTGTACTACAGTTTCAAGTAAACAAAAAATAAATTTGTCTTAAATTACTTTTTTAAACGAATAAAAAATGATAACGTCTTAGTCTCAAAATTTTTGACTTTTTTTTTAAAAAAATATTTTTGCTTTTTGCATGTAATCTTAATTCTTTTACATTTTACATGAGAATTATTAAATGGAAACAATTCTATATAGCTTAATTTAAAAATATTTAATTATCAAGCTTAATATAGAACAAAATTTTATATAAAATTTTCTTAACATTTCACAGTAAAGATATAAGGCATTCTCTAATAAAAAATGCCACAAAAAATTTAAATTTATTAAATTAGTTTAATACTTTGATAAATTGTTCTCTATAGGTTTATTATCTATACATTTTTATATGATCAAAATTTGTATCATATAGCTTCTTTAAAATTTTGTAAAAATAATCAGATTTAATTAAATGATGGTTTATTTTCTTGAGAAAATAATTCTTAATATCTTCACTGCTGGGATTTTTAAAGAAGTGCACCATTTTTTAAATATGATTAGGTATTAAGTAAAACAATGATTTTTACTTTTTTTAAATAAATAACCATATTGAACCAACAGTGCACTAGTTTAATATTTCTAAGTCAACATATTAAATTTTCTAATAATACAGATTTGCAGAGACAAATATCACGTTTATTTTTTTTAGATTTTAGACACAATGGTGGCTCACACAGTGCTTTTGGACTTCACAGTCTCTTCAAATGCAATCGTAGATTCCGAGAAGCGTTCCAATTTAAAGTCAAATATTGCTAATGTTTTGAAAGAACATTTTGTTGGGTTAAAACCCTTGACAGAATCTTATGTCGATGGAAGTTTACTTGTTCTGTATACTGGACCAAGAGGCAGTTTAATCACCATCAGAGGATATCCAGAGGGTCTTATCACCATCAACATCGAATATTACAAACGCGACGACGAGGAGGCCCTCTTGACATTCGAGGTAATTTTTAAAAGAAAATAATGAACTAATACGAGTGACAAAATAAGTTTTTTGTTTGTTTCTGAAGTCAAAAATCCAAGATGAAAGATTAATTTACAAAATAAGAAAAATTAACTATTCCTATTAATGTAAAATCAAACAATTTATAACTGAGAGAATATTGTAGCAATGGCGATACTTGGAAGTCGATGTTGCCCTGGCTTTGAACAGCCAACGCAGTAAACGTTTACCGCCTGTAAGACGAGGAACGATATATGATCTTTACCTGACGCTCTCAGGTAGAAACCGTTTACCCCACATGACATATATTTTTTATAGTTTTTCAATATCCATTTACAGGCAAATCTATATGAAATTTGCACTTATGAACAACGCAGTCGTTAGGTTCAAAGGAAAATCATTTTTTATACTTAAAAAGTTTATAAAAAAAATTCAAGAGCCCTTTCTGATATTCTCGATTCAATTATTATTATACCAATACTTATTGGAAAAGATTGAGCAAACATGAATTTCAAAATATTAGGGTCATTTCATTATACGTCGACCGAAGTCGGCTCTGACTAATTATAAAAAATTATAAAAAGTTTCTTAAATTTTTTTTATTTATTGCAAAATTTGAAATTAAAATATAAAATTTACTGGAAACATTCGTTTTTTGTCAAGTAGAAAATATTAGTCTATTAACGTTCAAATATTGCGAAAATCGTTGTGCATGAATATCCCATCAAATTTATTAGTTAGAATTTTTATTATACAGAATTTCAATATAAGAGATTCTTTTTCAATCGCCCCAGCCCAAAAAGTCAATGTTCTGGGATTGGCTTCATACTTTAGTAAATTGTTGTCCTATATGATAGTAATAAATCTCTAAAATATAAACTCATTAAAAAAATACTTGTAGAAAGTAGAGGGGGTTGAAGTTTTGACGTTAAGGGTAACATTGTCATTTTCAAATCCGTATAACTATGACAAAAGTTAATGAATTTTCATTTATCTATAATGAATTTTAATGGATTTTTCACGTACTTTTCAAAAATGTATAGGAAATTAAAAAAAATTTCACCCCTTTTTTTCAAAATCAACCCTTATTTTTCAATTTTCACCCCTTCGGGTATTTTTTTTTTTTATTTTCATTGGAAAGCTGACGTATTTTCCCATGAGCTATGTAAATATGAAAGTGGGACAACAATAATTTTGTGAGAAACATAATATTAAATTAGGCGGTGCCTACCTAAATCCTCAAAGATGATCTCCAGGTATACCCGGTATAGGCACCGCCTACTTTAATATTATGTTTCTCACAAAATTATTGTTGTCCCACTTTCATATTTACATAGCTCATGGGAAAATACGTCAGCTTTCCAATGAAAATAAAAAAAAAAAATACCCGAAGGGGTGAAAATTGAAAAATAAGGGTTGATTTTGAAAAAAAGGGGTGAAATTTTTTTTTAATTTCGTAAACATTTTTGTAAAGTACGTGAAAAAAGCATTACAATTCATTGTAGATAAATTAAAATCCATTAACTTTTGTCATAGTTATACGGATCATTTTTTTACACTTTTAGGGCAAATTATATAATTTTTAAAAACATTTTTTTCTGGCTAAAGAAAGAACAGTTTCTAGAACTTTTTACACTTTCGATTCACATTTTACAATAAATAACAAAAATTTTGACAAAAGTTGGCGACAACTTTGTGCAAAATATACTGAAATGACACATAAGTTAAATTTTATTTTTAATAAAACAAGCAAAACGGTATAAATATACCGTCAACGGGGGTACTGTAGGTTTTCAACCTTCTTGGGAATTAATTTCGTTTGTACAGATAACAAAATTGATTCTCCATTAATTGTATTCGATTATCCAACCCTTGAATTTAAACGTCTAGCAGTTTAAAATTGAAAAGAGAAAAAAAAGTAAAAAAATGGAAAATATAAAATTTTAACGCGGGGAATTGATTAAAGAAGTCATTGAAAAAACTATTTTTGGTAATTATTTTGTTTATTCAGGGGGTAAAATTAATTGTCCAAGCATTACCTTTATTCGATTATATGCATTATATGTAATAAGACAGTCCAACTTGTGACGTAGCGTGACGTAACTTTTCAAAATGGTAGCTGGTCGGAAGACATGCAATGCATTGAAGTCAATGGAGCGAATCAGTTTTTTTAACAAAACATTTGAAAAATTAATTTTTGAACCCATGTGTAATTGTAAAATATTTTCTATTTATCGAGATCTATTTCTTAAAATAATAAAAATTAATTTTTTGATTTTATTATTTTAAAAAATAGATCTCGATAAATAGAAAATATTTTACAATTACACTTGGGTTCAAAAATTAATTTTTCAAAAGTTATGATAAAAAAAACTGATTCGCTCCATTGACTTCAATACATTGATATGTCTTCCGACAAGCCGCGATTTTGAAAAGTGACGTCACGCTATGTCACAAGTTGGACAGCCTTATAAATGATTGAACTTGTTTTATTACTTAAAGAATCTTTTTTTAAATTAGAGACTGAAAAGTTATAGATTGATTGAAGGTGAACTTACCTTGGACAAATGATTTATAACGTTGAAACTTTTGATTTCCAATTTTTTTCAATTTTAGTGCTTTTAAGCAATTTTTTTAATTTTTTGCATTTTTGAATTAAACAAAAGGTGGACAAAAAAAATTTTTTGTTGGACAAACATGGACTAATTGTGGACAAACGAATGCCATATACCCAATGGGAAATTTGCCAATGCTTACAACTGATTCAATATTGGTCCACGATTGACAGACAATCTTTTTTTCTTGGTAAAACTATTGGCACCCAATATTGGACCGCGAATGGTAAAGTCATGGGATGATCACGCCGTTTCCAATCATTGGTAGCCAATATTGTTCCATCATTGGCTACCAAGGCAAAAAACGGATTCTCAAAAGCTTGGTTATTAATTGGCTACAAAAATTGGGCCAGTATTGGAAGCAAATCATTGGTTATCAACAATGGACCAATCTTAGTAGCCAATTATTAACCAAGCATTTGAATATTTGTTATATGTCTTGGCAGCCAATGAAAAAACAATATTTGAGACCTAATACCTATTGTCAGCCAATAGTTCGACAAGAAAAGGATACAAAAATTTCATTCAATTCATTTCACATATGAAGATAATTAAAATATCTCCTGCCACCAAAAAAAGGCAAAGTGTGAAAAAATTGAATTCTGATTTCAACGACAAAGAAATCTGTTCTTATATAGTGTAAGGGTAACACCTTGTTTGAGAGTGGAAACGACTACCACACACCCTATACGCCACTTGTTTGAATTATTGTCGTACGCGCATCTTTCGACGCAGCGTGGGAATCTTCAAATGTGATTTCAAACATTGTGTGAAAGATTTAATAATTTTTTATTACAGTACATATTAAAAAAATTATTATAATTAAAAAAATATTAAAAATTTTTTTTTTTATTTTTAAAAAATATTTATTATAATAATAAAAAGTATTTTATTTAATATAATTGTTTTTAATTTTAAAAATAACTATTTTACAAAATAATTCCAGATTCTTTCAATAAAATTATTTATAAAAATTAGTAATTTTTCATTAATTAAAAACAATTCGATTGAATAAATTAATTTTTATTAATATTATCAATATTTTTTAAAAATATTATTTCAATATATGGACCAATATTAAAATAACTGTATTGTGATTGAAATTCTGAAAACCGTAAGTTTTTAGTTTGTTATATTTCATTTGTTAACACAGAAAGTTATAAGGTATTTAAATAAGCTGCAACGCTTATTATTTTAATCCAATTTTGCTTATTTTAATACCAAAATGGATTAAAATAAGCAAAATTGGATTAAAATAATAAGCGTTGCAGCTTATTTTAATACCTTTTAATTTTCTGTGAAATGAAAGATTTTCTCAGCCCAAAATATGTATATTCAAAAATATTTTAGAGCAAATTTCTTGTTTTACAATTTTTCAATAAAATTATTTGTGAAAATTAGTATTTTTAATTCATAATTAAATATTTAATTAAAAAATTATCGATTCTGGAAAAAAATTCTGAAAAAATTTTGAATTATATTGTATATAATTATTTTCAAAATTAATAACAATTTGATTAAATAAAATAATTTTTATTAATGTAATAAATATTTAAAAAAATATAATTTCAATATATGGATCAATTTAAAAATAACTGTATTGTGATTGAAATTCTGAAATCAGTAAGTTTTTAATTGGTTTTATTTCATATGTTAAATAAAAATATTTAATTTAATAATATTTAATATTTAATTCCTGAAAAAATCTGGAATTATTTTGTAAAATAGTTATTTTTAAAATTAAAAACAATTATATTAAATAAAATACTTTTTATTATTATAATAAATATTTTTTAAAAATAAAAAAAAAAATTTTTAATATTTTTTTAATTATAATAATTTTTTTAATATGTACTGTAATAAAAAATTATTAAATCTTTCACACAATGTTTGAAATCACATTTGAAGATTCCCACGCTGCGTCGAAAGATGCGCGTACGACAATAATTCAAACAAGTGGCGTATAGGGTGTGTGGTAGTCGTTTCCACTCTCAAACAAGGTGTTACCCTCACACTATATAAGAACAGATTTCTTTGTCGTTGAAATCAGAATTCAATTTTTTCATACTTTGCCTTTTTTTGGTGGCAGGAGATATTTTAATTATCTTCATATGTGAAATGAATTGAATGAAATTTTTGTATCTTTTTCTTGTCGAACTATTGGCTGCCAAAAGTGGACCACGTTTTATTAAATTTTGGAATGATATTATGCCATCATTAGGTCTCAAATATTGTTTTTTCATTGACTGCCAAGACATATAACGAATATTCAAATGCTTGGTTAATAATTGGCTACTAAGATTGGTCCATTGTTGATAACAAATGATTGGCTTCCAATACTGGCCCAATCTTTGTGGCCAATTAATAACCAAGCTTTTGAGAATCCGTTTTTTGCCTTGGTAGCCAATGATGGAACAATATTGGCTACCAATGATTAGCAACGGCGTGATCATCCCAAGACTTTACCATTCGCAGTCCAATATTGGGTGCCATCATTGCACCAATAATGGAACGACTGGCTCCCAATGTTGGACCATTATTAAACCATTGAGAAACTTTGGCGGGGATCACATACAATGACTGATTGGTATATCATGTATTAGATTTCATGGTTTTTTGGATTTTTCTCAAAAAATTATCACTTGGTACAAAAGAGTCAGTAT